ATTTCTCTTTGTTTAAGATACTGTTTCTTTTGGAAACTGTGAACTTGTAGTTCTTAACTTTCTCATTTAAGATTCAACTTAATCAGATAAAACCCAACATTACTTCTTCATTTAATTACACGTTCATTTAATTTTATTTGTCATTCATGTTTAGTTAAGTTTTAATCAGTTGCTGTACCTTTTCAGATAAAGTATTTGTTTCTAGTTTCTTTACACTGAGTCCTGTCTTTTTTTACTCACCCATTAACAAAACATTATAATTAATAATGGCTGGAGACGGCTTAAATGGGTAATGAAGAAAAACTTTAATATCAGTTTAACATGACAGCAAATGTACAACGTTTCGACAAGGTTTTGTCATCATCAGGTACCTATATCATCATCATTTATATTCTAAAGCGGTTTGTGTTCGTTTGTCCGAGGCGAACACTTTCTAACTTTTACCTTTGATCACCATGAAGCTTTCAGAAATTCTTGGATACTCTCCGGGTGGATTCTAAAACCCCTTACTTTATTTATTTATTGTCAAATTTTACGATATTGACAGATATGTAGATTTCCCCTCTTGCTAACTGCCTTAGTGCTGGTGAATGACACACAAGCACGTCGTTCAGCCATCTTCATGAAACTAACAAATCAACGCCATCTTCATGAAACTAACAAAACAAATGTTGCGACTGATGCAAGTACATATTCTAAAGTTAAATAAGATAAAATAACAGTAAGAAAATTAAAGTCAAGATAGGTAAACATGCAAGAACCTATCTTCATGTTACGTAAAATTACAAAATAAAAAGAGCTAAAGTTAAGATGCACAAGTAGGTCTAATTGTTAAAGTCTTAAGAAAGCATAAATTCATAGTGAACAATGAGAAAAAATGGCAAAAGCCTAAAATCAAGATAGTTATACAGGCTGTTTGATTAATTTATTTGTTTGTAATTAAGCCCAAAGCTACACAATGGGCTATCTGTACTCTGCCCGCCACGGGTATCGAAACCCGGATTCTAGCGTTGTAAGTCCACAGACATACCGCTGTGCCACTGGGGGCCAGTTTGTTGAAAAAGCTTCGTAAGAGAAACAAACAAAATCGTGAATATGCAAGCTATATCGTGGGATTGTGTGTAATCTACTCGAACCTTCAGGAAAAGCCGCGAACAGAGAGATCCAGATAACATCAATTTTCAAAATAAAAAACGTTTGTTTGATTAATAAGCTCAAAAAATCTTAACGCAATGGTGTCATAAATAAAATTATTCTGAAGACATTTAAGGCATTTATATAGTGTAAAAAAAAAAAAACGGAATCAAATTATTTAATAAAGATAGTTAACAAAAAAAGCTCACGTGAGGATATACAACAATGACATGATGATTAATAATCACCAAGTACTTCATCACATGCGCGACATGATGATGGTGATTAATAATTATAAATCCAATACACCCAAGTACTTCATCACATGCGCGACATGATGATGGTGATTAATAATTATAAATCCAATACACCCAAATACTTCATCACATGCGCGACATGATGATGGTGATTAATAATTATAAATCCAATACACCCAAGTACTTCATCACATGCGCGACATGATGATGGTGATTAATAATTATAAATCCAATACACCCAAGTACTTCATCACATGCGCGACATGATGATGGTGATTAATAATTATAAATCCAATACACCCAAGTACTTCATCACATGCGCGACATGATGATGGTGATTAATAATTATAAATCCAAAACACCCAAGCACTTCATCACATGCGCGACATGAACAGACCTTAATGATATCAAATTTATTAATTTACCAGAAAGCTGCACAACGAAAAAAAGAGACCTGATACAAATTAAAGCAGGTTTCCCTGAAATCATTAGAGGATTTTTAATTAGTAATAGGACTTGTTGTGGCTTAGTGGTCAATGTGCCAAGCTGCAGATCATAGGGTCCGGAATTCGAGAAGCGATATCGTTGAACACGTTCCACACTTTCAGCTGTGGGTGCATTATGAAAGTAACAATCAATTCCGTTATTCAGGTAGAAGAGCTGAACAAATCCCTTGTGGAGCTGAAGGTGGCTTAGTGGTTAATGTGCTCGGATTGTAAATCTAAAGTGTTGAATTTCTTCAGCACTTTGGTACACATCTTTTGATGTACGTAACAAGCTGAAATGAATTCAATATTCGAAAAAGATATATTTTGTCTATTACAGTTCGATTTTCGGATTTTGTAAAGTCATTTGCTTTTTAATTTGTATGGTCCAGAAAAAAATCATACCTCAGACGCGATATCGTTCATTAAAGGCCTTCCACACTTTTAGCCGTAAGCGCATTATAAAAGTGGCAGTCAATAACGTTATTTGGTTCAGAATGCCGAACATAGGCCCTGTAGAGCTGGAAGTGACCTAGTGGTTAGCGTGCTCGGACTGTGAATTCGACGTTTTATGGTTCGAGTACTTATACACAAATGTAATGTCTAAAAAATATTTTGTAATACAATATGCAGTATCATGTAAACTTTCTGTACATTATGATGGCAAAGTATGTAAACTGTATGTACGAGTAAACCACCCAAAATACTGTATGTATGAATAAACCACCCAAAATACTGTGTATGTATGAATAAACCACCCAAAATACTGTATGTATGAGTAAACCACCCAAAATACTGTATGTATGAATAAACCACCCAAAATACTGTATGTATGAATAAACCACCCAAAATACTGTATATATACGAGTAAACCACCCAAAATACTGTATGTATGAATAAACCACCCAAAATACTGTATGTACGAGTAAACCACCCAAAATACTGTATGTATGAATAAACCACCCAAAATACTGTGTATGTATGAGTAAATCACCCAAAATACTGTATATATACGAGTAAACCACCCAAAATACTATATGTATGAATAAACCACCCAAAATACTGTGTATGTATGAGTAAATCACCCAAAATACTGTATATATACGAGTAAACCACCCAAAATACTGTATATATACGAGTAAACCACCCAAAATACTA